ACATGACATCTCCAGAGTAGTCAAGTGTATACAACTGAAATAAATTGCAGTTGTCAGGGTAGGGAAAAGAAGAGAACAGGGAGTGACTTAATAGATGAACAGTGTTACTTTTGCAAGATGGAAAAGTTCTGGAGATGGAAAGCAGTGCTGATATTGCCCAACATTTTAAATGTTACCAATGGCACACAGCTGAATAGATAAAAGTTAAAGTGGTGAAGTTCTATATACAACTCTTACCACAGAAAAGAAGACAAAAATGTTTCAAGACTACTTTCAGAATTGATATGAAATTGATATAAAAATTAACTTTTAAAATTTTATTTCTCCATAAAAAAGAACTTTTTTGCATTTTGCGGGGTTGTTTTGGGTTCTTCGTTCAGTTGGTTGGTTGGTTGGTTCTTTGGCTAGCTGGCTGCCTGGCTGGTTGGCTGGTTGGTTGGTTGGTTGGTTGGTTGGTTGGTTGGTTGGTTGGTTGGTTCTTTGACTGGTTTTTGAAGCAGGGTTTTCACTGTGTTAGCATAGCCTGGATTGAATCCTAGGTCCTTCTGCTTCAGCCTTCAGATTAGTAGCTTAAATTTTGCCCTAATAATTTGTGACTGTAACTACAAAGTTTTCTTTCTTATTAAGTGCTCTATACATAATGGCAGTAAGAACCTTAATGGTATCTACTGCAAGCAGAACTGTTACATTTGAAAAGTTTGAACAATGCAAGAACTCATTTCTTTACTGACTAAATATGTGGCATATGAGTAGACCATTATGGTCACAAGTGATCATATATGTATTTCAGTTCAGTTAAGTAAATTTATAACACAAAATAAACTCACTCATTTTCAGACTCAGGCGATATGGTAGGAAAGCCCTTAGACTTACACAGGTTGTAGAGAACCATCAGAACGGATTATTTTCTCAGGAAATATTGTGCGCTTGTTTTTTGAGGGCTTGAGTTCTACCATTGAGTATTTTTAGTTTCATACATTCCTAGACAAAGTCTCTGAACATCTTTTATCCTCCCTCCCAACCAAAGAAAAGAACTAGAACCACTGGGAAGTCATAGAAGAAATGCACAGGTGTAATTATGTGATTTCATTGCTAACAGACATAATACACAGGAGAATCCTTCATCTAATGCCAAGAGCTATACAAAAGAATGAAACAATCTCTTGGCAATCAATATCAGCATCTGAATAAATGGCTAAAATTTGTGAAGTTTTCTTCCTTAACACTGGGGCCTTGGACACACTGAGAGTGCATTCTGTCACAGAGCTATATTCTTCAGCATTACTCTTGATGGATTTGCAACAAGATTTTTTAATGATTTATTTCCTTTTGTTATATGTGTATTGGTGATTTGCCTGAATGTATGTCTGTTGTGAGAGTGCCAGACCCCTGAAACTAGAGACAGAGATAATCATGAACTGCTGTGTGGATGCTGGGAATCGAACCAAGGTCCTCTGGAAGAGAAGCCAGTGCTGTTAACCAATAAGCAATCAGTCCAACCCCAGGAGTATATTCTTATTACATTTATTTATTGATTCATTTTGTGTGTGTGTGTGTGTGTGTGTGTGTGTGTGTGTGTGTGTGTGTGTGTGTACTTACCACAGCGCACATGTGGAGATTAGGGGAGAACTTGCAGGAGCCAACTTGCTACTCTACCATGTGAGTCCATGGATTGAACTCAGGTTATCAGGTTTGTGTCAGGTTCCCTTACTCACTGAGCCATCTTGCCAGTCCTCTAATAAAACTGTAAATACAAACACTAAAAAATAGTATTTATAATCAGTACACACAGTTGTTTAAATTTGTAACACATGACACATTCCTTATATATTGAAATATTTATGTGATAATTGAACCACAATAAATATTAAGAAACCTTAGTTGAAACTACTAAAATTCTTCCTATCTGTATCTCTATTTATAGACATACAAACTGAGTATTTTTTTCACTATAAGAATTTCTTCTCTGAGGAAGCAGCTCTCTCTGCCCCCTCTTTCTGTCTCTCTTAGCTCTTCCATTCCCTTATGCCCTTCCCTTCCCCAAATAAACTTTCAGCATAGAAATATTTTCTACAAATGGACTTTGGGAGCCAATCCCACATGGAGGGATGCTCTCTCAGCTTGGACACCTGGAGGAGGTCCTAGGCCCTGCCCAGTATGATATGACAAACTTTGAAAATCCCCCATTGGAAGGACTCACCCTCCCTGGGAAACAGAAAGGGGATGGGATAGGGGGTTAGGGAGGTGGGGGAGGAGGGGAGGGAGAGGGAACTGAGATTTACAAGTCAAACAAGCTTGTTTCTAATTTAAATAAAAAACATTTCTATAACATTTCCATAGTTTCCAACTTACAAATGAACTCACCAATTTTAACTGCCTGCATTAAATAAAAACACTTAAGGGTCCCAGATGTCGATAGAAATCAAGATAGGAAAAAGAGCCTGTTTACCTTTGTTTTTGTTTTTTGTGGTTTTTTGTTTTGGTATGGTTTTTGGTTTGGTTTTGTTTGTTTGTTTGTTTGTTTTTTGTCCTTTCTTGACTGGAGAAAAGATTTTTCTCTAGAATGGGTGTGTCTTCCTTCTTTACTCATTGGTTTTTTTCTGTTCCACAGTGACCTCCATGGGCTTTACATAAGGACCACCAGAACCCATTCTCCATCTACCTGTGCTCTGTAAGCAGTAAGCTGTGAGCCATTACTCAGATTTAGGAATGTGCCTATCACTCCTAACTTCCCACCAACTATGAAAGAGGCCTTAGAAACCTGACTGTACAACTTGGGAGACTTGTGCGTTTTAAGTGGATCGCTCACTGAAGTTAGTCAAGGTACAAAACAGGACCTTAAGAAGCATAGAAGCCAAAGTGAGTTCTCATTTTATTCTAAGATAAGCACTACTGCCAAGGTGCTAGGCTTAATGAAGAATTCAAGGGAAGTAGCAGCACCAGCATCAATAAGAACAAAGATCCTGTCTTTTACAGTTTGCAATTTAACGGATGGAATAGCTTTCTTAGAAGAATGATGTATGCATGGTGTTGTATACCGGCAATCCCAACATTTGAGAGGCTGAAGCAAGGAGATGAGCTACATAGCAAGACCCTTGTATCAAAACCAAGTAACTATAACAAAAATTGCAGGAATTTCAAATCTATCTTATAAGCAACTTACAAAGATCTTAAGGCAACCTGGTTTTGAAATGAAACAGGTTTTCCCATTTGGGAAGTATTGGCAGGAAGCTTGTTTGGAAACTTCCCTGATAACCACATTTCTTCATTATATCTCCCACCATTCAACAAGCAAAATAAGAGTTTCCACAGCGGTACACCCATAATTTCATCCTTGTGCGTCATTTCACATTAATATCATGTGTTTTTGTTACTTACATCAAAGAAATAAGGAGAGCAACGAGACTTTCTTTATGACCCTTGCTTAATAGAGAATAAATGAATAAATTCCATTTATTAGCCATAGTAGGAACTTATCAATAGTCACCAATCACTCTTGTCTTTAGCTCCACCTGCACCCCCACAGTGAACCACTCATTTTTCATCTTTGGGAAAAGAAACAATCTTGGTTACTTGAAAATTTTCTTGCACTGTTTATTTTTTCAGCTCTCCAATCACTCTGGAAACATGGGCTTTACCTATCCTCAGAGCAAGTCATAGGGACAGGGACCACGTTTCATGTCCTCATTGCAGGAGTAAATTCACATGCCCCTAGAAGAGTGTGTCTGAACCTAGGTAACACCAGCTAATGTCAAAAATCAATATGTGAAGACCATTGAGGAAGACATTTCATATGATTTCTATCTTCATCCTTCTCCATTTGTACATCTAGAATAAGGCTAGGATCCAGAAATCAACTGTTTAAAAAAAGAATCCATGGGCTTAATTTCATCCATGGCCATAGGTTGTCGAACTCTGATAAATACTCTTGTCAAATAAGGAAGAAAGAAGTGGGATATGTGAAAAGACACATGGAAACTTTAGAGTTCAATGTTGAATAGATAAAGAGAGAGAGAACATGCTTCACAATCAACTACAGAGTTATAGTAATGAAATCCACAAGGTATTGACACAAATACAGGCTTTTTGATCAATGGAATAGAATCAAAAATCCAGATATAAATTCACATACATATGAACACCTGATTTTTACAAACAAGCTAGAAAGTCAAAATACAAAAAAAGCATCTTCAAAAAATGGTGCTGTTCTAACTGGATGTCTGTATGTAGAAGCATGCAAATAGATTCATCTCTATAACCTTGCACAAAACTCAAGCTCAAGTGGTTCAAAGATCTCAACATACAACCAGATACACTGAACCTGATAGAAGATAAAATGTAGAATATCCTTGAGCACATTGGGACAGAAGACAACTTCTTGAACAGAACACCAACAACATAGGCATTAAGATTAACAATTAATAAATGGGACCTCGTGAAACATAAAAGCTCCTGTAAGGCAAAGAACACTGTCAATAAGACATAGCAACAGCCTACAGATGGGCAGAGACCTTCACCAACCCTACATCTGACAGAGGGTTGATCTCCAAAATTTACAAAGAACCCAAAAAACTAGGCATCAAAATATCAAATAATCCAATTTTAAAATGGGATACATATCTAAACAGAGAATTATCAATAGAAGAATAGCAAATAACTGAAAACCACCTAGAGAAATGTTCAACATCCTTAACCATCAGGGAAATGCAAATCAAAACTACTTTGAGATTCCTTCATACACCTGTTAAAATGGCTAAAATCAATTACACAAATGACAGCCCATACTGGCAAGGAGGCAGAGCAAAGACAACACTCCTCAACTGCTGGTGGGAGTACAAACTTGTACAATCACTATCAAATCGGTATGGCAGTCTCTCAGAAAATTGGAAAGTAATCTAACTTAAGATCCAGCTATAAGCCCACCCCTTTGTGTTGCTAGGGGAAGTGACGTCACAGCACGATGAGGGCCCTCCTTTAGGCAGTGGAAGGGGGAGTCAGGCCCCGAAGATCCCAGCCCATCCGCGGCTGGGAGAGGGTGAGAGGGGCCAGCAGGCCCAGAGCAGCTGTGGCAGAGCTCGGACTGTCCCATCGGCCCCTTATAGAGGCGCTGAGAGCGAATGGGCAACCAGAAAGCAATGATGAAAGCAGGGCCGTAAAGGGGGCGGAGCCGGATCTGACACTCAGTGGCTGCAGCAGCTGGGCCACCTCCAGGAGCACAAACGCAGGAAGCAGCTGGGCAGGCAACAGGGAGCCACACAGCTGCCATGGAGGTGAGGGTCGGGAACAGGTACCTGCTGGGACACAAGATCGGCAGCGGCTCCTTCGGAGAAGTCTATCTAGGTACGGACATTGCTACCGGAGAAGAAGTTGCCATCAAGCTTGAAAGTGTTAAAGCCAAACATCCTCAACTCCACATTGAGAGCAAGATCTACAAAACGATGCAGGGAGCAGTGGGCATACCTACCATCAGATGGGGTGGGTCTGAAGGAGACTACAATGCCATAGTGATGGAGCTACTAGGACCGAGCCTAGAAGACCTCTTCAACTTCTGTTCAAGGAAGTTTAGTCTCAAAACTGTCCTATTGCTTGCTGACCAAATGATAAGTCGTATTGAGTACATTCATTCGAAGAATTATATCCACCGAGATGTGAAGCCAGAAAACTTCCTCATGGGGCGGGGAAAGAAAGGCAACCTGGTCCACATCATTGACTTTGGTCTGGCCAAGAAGTACCGAGATGCCCGCACCCACCAGCATATCCCTTATCGAGAGAGCAAGAACCTCACGGGTACGGTGCGCTATGCCTCCATCAACATGCACCTTGGCATTGAATTGTCTCGAAGGGATGATTTGGAATCCCTGGGGTACGTGATGATGTACTTCAACCTGGGCTCTCTCCCCTGGCAGGGGCTGAAGGCTGCCACCAAGAGGCAGAAGTATGAGAGGATCACTGAGAAGAAGATGTCCACCCCCGTTGAAGTGCTGTGCAGGGGCTATCCATCTGAATTTGCCACATACCTGAATTTCTGCCGTTCCTTACATTTTGAAGACAAACCTGACTACTCCTACCTAAGACACCTCTTCAGAAATGTATTCCATCGCCAGGGCTTCTCCTATGACTACGTGTTCGACTGGAACATGCTCAAATCTGGTGCCAGCCGAGGTGCAGATGATGCCGAGCAGGAACGCCGGGACAGAGAGGAGCGATTAAGACACTCGCAGAATCCAGCCACCAGTGGCCTCCCTTCTACAGCTTCTTGCCGTCTTCGGGGAACTCAGGAAGTGGTTCGCCCAACGGCGCTTATCCATACCTCACACATGGCCAACACCTGTCCTAGGCCCATCTCTGGCATGGAACGAGAACGGAAAGTGAGCATGCGGCAGCACCGTGGGGCACCAGTCAATGTCTCCTCATCTGATCTCAGGGGCCAACAAGATACCTCTCGCAGGTCCGCCTCACAGGTTCCCGGTCGAGGGTCTTCCAGAGGTCGTCAGTCTGTCGTACACCAATGAGAAGTCTCCTTTTTGCTGTGAAGGGCAGACAGTGCATGGCTGATCTACTCTGTTAACAATGGCTTTACTAGTGACATGCCCTCCCCTCTCCCCCCCCCTCCTTCTAAACCTGAAATGTTAACACCAGGAGCACTCCAGGCCACTTACCCAGTGATGCTCATGGGGAATCAAAACACAAACTAAATGGACAGGCTCCAAGAGGTGCCATCGCCAGGGGCTACACCGTGACCCCATGTGAGCTCAGTTATCATGGGGCTGGAACTAACAGCAGAGGCTGGGAGACCATTATAGAGAGAACCAGACTCCCTGTGACGACGAGCCTCTGAGCTCCCACCGGTGGTGGCAGACCTGCACTCCCGGATGATTCCACCTCAGGTACCAGTCTTCTACTTGGTTAAGACAGTTTTGTATCATTTTGCTAAAAATTACTGTATTAAATCTGTATAAAGAAATCTGTCTTTTTATTGTTTCTTTCTTGTCTGTTTTTGCGGTCTTAAAAAAGATGTTGACTGAGGCAGAGGCAGGCAGATATCTGTGAGTTCGAGGCCGGGCTGGACAGACAGCATCCAAAACAATCCAGTGAAACCGTGTCTCATAAAAAAAAGGTGTTGACCTTAATCCTAAGACATGCTGGCCTTATTTCCTTGTTTATATTTGGGCTCTAATGGTGTTGCCATGGCTTCTCCTTTCTTCCCAGAATTCCCCGGTACTGAGCACGGGCCTGGGGTGGGGGAACACACTGCTCATGTGGTAGCATCCCAGAATGTGGCTGTTAGTCCTGCCAGCCAGTCATCTGAGCCTCTGGGTACTTCTTTCTGAGTCCTGAGCTGGTTACTCTGCAAGCATTTTAGGGCACACGGAATTGACTGGGAGGGACTGTGTGTCTGGGAGTGGAGAGGGAGTTTGGGAGGGTTGGGAAAGTTTGAGGTTTTTGTTGCAAATCCTTTATCAGAATTGGGCCTCTTCTCTCCATTGGCAGGCCTGCCTGGCAAGTGTTCTTTTTAGATATCTGTGGTGCTGAAGGTGTTTTGGGGTGACCTTGAGACAGATCCAGGATCATACCTGACCCTGTTGGGTTGCACTAAGATTACACCCATTGGAAGTCCTCCAGGGTGTGACTCTGACAGTTCTTGCCTAATATTTAATCCCATCATCACACACAGGAAGCATAGGTAGAATGTGTATATCAACCTGTGTCTTGGTAACCAGTCTCTGAGCTGTGCATTTGTATTACCACTATATTTGGGTTCCTTAACAATTGTGTAAATAACAAATTCATAATGACTTCTAAAAAAAGATCCAGCTATACCACTCTTGGTCATATACCTAAAGGATGATCCACCTTACTAAGAGGACACTTGTTCAACTATCTTCATAGCAGTTTATTCATAACAGCCAGAAACAGCAAACAACCTAGATGTCCCTAAACTGAAGAATGAATAAAGAAAATGTGGTATATTTACACAATAGAGTATTACTCAGCTGTTTTAAAATTACACCATGAAATTTTCAAGTAACTGGATGGAACTAGGAAAAACATCATCCTGAGTGAGGTTAACCAGACATAGTAAGACAAACATGGCAAATACTCACTTATAAGTGGTTATTAACTTTTTAAAAAATGATAACCATGCCATAATCAAACAGACCCAGAAAAGCTAAGTAACAAGGATGGCTAGAGGGTGGCACATGGAGCTCCCTGAAAATAAGAAATAGAATAGATTTTGCTGATGGGCTGTGGCAGGTGGGAATGGGATGGAGAGACCAGGTTAGGTGACAGAGGAAGAGAGTACTGTGAGAGACACTGGAGTTGGAGGGTATTTGAGAGGCAATGTGGAAACCAAGTGCAGTAGAAACACTCAGGATTCTATGATGGTGAGCCTGTCAAGGACTCCTAGTAATAGAAGATATAGAGCATGAACCAACCATCTTCTGTAACAAGGCAACTTCCAGTAGTGAGATTGGGATATCAGCCCAGGCACAAAACATTTGACCTACAATCTATCCTGCCTGCAAGATGTCCTGGGTCAAAGAGGGGGGGCACAACTTGTGAGAGGGACCAACCAATGCCTAATCTAGTTTGAAGCCCACACAACAAAAGGGAGCTTATGGCTGCCATTGTCTAGATGATCAGGAACTACTGCAGGCAGATAGCCCAGAGACCAAGGAGAGAAAAAATTACCAACAACATGACTCCTAGTGATATTCTACTATAATCATAGATGGGTTTCTGTGCCTAATTTAGTTCCCCCAGCAGCTAATGGGAGATGAACATTAGGCAGAGGGAGAGAGAGGCCAAATTGGAGATCTCCTTTGTGTCTCTCCCTTCTGGAGCCCCAGCCCTAGAAGATATGGAGGAGGAATTGTGTGATCCAGAGGAATGGAGGACACCAGGAGAACACAGACCACAGAATCAACTAGTCTGGGCTCATAAGGGCTCACAGAGACTGCACTAACAACCAGGGAACCTATGTGGGACTGACCTAGGCCCTCTGCATGTATGTTATAATTGTGTAGCTTGGTCCTCTTGTGGGACTCTGATAGAGTGGGAGCAGGGACTGTCTCTCACTCTGTTGCCTGCTGTTGGGACCCTTTCCTCCTAATGGGCTGCCTTGTTCCAGCCTGGATAGGAGAGGAGCTGCCTAGTCTCAAAGCATCTTGATATGATAAGTTTTGTTGATATCCATGGGAGGAGGGGAGTTATAGTGGGGACTGGAAATAGTAGAGGGAGGGGAAACTTGGTCAAGGTGTATTGTATGAGAGAAGAAGTAAAATAATGTTAAAAAATTAAATAAGCAGACAAAAATAAAATAATATAAAAAGTTAAATAAGCAGACAATTTTTTAAATATCTATTAATCTTTAAAAGTAAATAAATGTGTCTCTAAGACCTTCCTTTAAGGAAAGGTTTGGTGTTCACTGGTAGAGAGTATATTTAGAAGTCGCTACCAGGGGACTACTACTTCAAGACCAGGCATATCTACTGCCTCGATGGAGGCCACTCATTTTTTAGGGCAGATCTATTGGTAACAGCAGGACTGAGGTATAATGTAAAATTCCCTGTTTTGTGCTCATAATCCCTGAATGAAATATGAGTTTTTCTATGCAGGTCTAGAAGAAAAGAGGGCCTGAAAATGATGTAGCAATTCTTGGGGAAACTGTGCTTCTATAAGGGAGGAAGGGATTGGTGACTTGGGGTTCTTGGGTACATAAGTTATAATGCATGCCCACACATATAGTCATATCACACAACCAAATCTTGTAAAGGGAGCAGCAGTAACGTGCAATCCAGAAAGGGTAGACATGAGAAATTAGAGTGGTCCCAGCAGCATGTTAGCAGTCTATAGTCCTTCAGGGAAACACACAGGGGTAGAACACAAATAGTAGATCAGGACTCTGATGGTGCTGACAGTCAGTGTGAATTTACATTTCAAAATATTAAAGTAACATGACATCCCTCTTATATTGTAGCTACTGGATATTTATACCGTCTGAAAGATATTTTATGAATGTCATGGTTAATATTGATTGTCCACTCGACAGGATCTAAAAATCACCATATGAACACATTTCTAGATATCGTTATGAAGATGACTTCAGAAAGGTACAGCAGAACAAGGTAGACTCACCTAGAATTTGGGCTATCACCAACCCATGGGTTTGCAGTTCCTGCTGAGTAAAATGGAGGACATGAGTTGAGCAGCAGTCTTCATCTCTTTCTGCCTTCTAACTATTGCACTGTGATCTGCTGCCTCTTGTTCCCCCCACCGTGACTTCTCAGGCATGTGAACCTCACTCAACATGTGAGCCAAAATACACCATCAATTCCTCAATTTCCTTTCATCGGGCACTTTGTTACAGCGATGAGAAATACATCTGAAACAATGGACAAATTAAAATCAATAATTCTGAGAAAATTAATAATCATAAACAAAGGTTCAGATCAGTCCCTAATCTTAAAAATCTTTTAAGGTTCTACGTTGTTCCCAATGTTTACTTGGCACAGAGAGATGAACAAAGGAGAAACGTTCTGTACTGTGCTATAGACATGGTTGGAGTATATTCCAAAAAGGTTCATCTGTTAAACTTAGTCACATCTATGAGCAATTAACAGAGGGTAAACCAAAGATAGCTATGTGATTTAGAGGTGAAGCCTTTGGAAACTGATTAGGACTAGATACTTTCATAATAGAACTGTCCCCATGGTTGAGCAAGGGTGGCAGTAAGGGAAAAGAGATAACTCAGAGGATGTAGGCATACACATGAATTCCCTGACTGTTATGTGTTGGCATATACCACCCTGGACATCTGACAGCAAGAAAGCGATCATTATTTGCAAACTTGAATTTCTAGGTCAGTGATCAAACTAAATCCCCCATCTCTATAAATTGGCCTACTGTCTAGTAGCAGAAGCAGACTATTATAGACAGCAAAGAGTTTACATCTTTTTTTCTTCTGTTACCTTAAGGTCAGGCAGTTAGACTCAGAAAGCTGGCAGAATATTCAGAATTTTAAGGCATCAGTGTGGCTCTGGCTACTTTCTGGGAGATGTTTCATTATAACACTCCTGAGGCTACCTTAGGTCTTTCTCTAACTAAAGAAGCATGTTCATTCATTTGCAGGACAGGTCTCTGATTTTTTTGTTATGGGAGAGTGGTAACTGTGGTTGTGGTGTGATATTGATGTCTCTGTGAGTCAGCCAGCTGCCTCTGGACACAAGATTTGGTAGACAAATGTTATTGATTGCTGGTTCTATGAATTGGAAAGCTCAGTGATACACTCTACCCAGAGATCTGTAATGGGAACCAGCTAGAGATATTCAAAACAACATGCTTATAAATGCAGGCTGTCTCAGCTGCCTTCCATTCATATTCAGTGATTCTCAGCATCTCCAATTAATGGTTTCCACTTAAATCCGTGATGCATTGGCATCTAATTGCTGCAGAAGCCAAACTAGGACTTGCATTACCATCAGACTCCCTTCAATCCCTGGGTAGAAGGGGTACTATGCCTTCTACTTTTACTTGAATTTTTACCCTTTTAAACAGTTTCTCCAATATGTCCCTGTGTAACAAGGAATGGTATCTATAGAGCAAGGCAAAGTAACTCTGACAGAATACTACATTTGTGACTTAGTTCCTGCATCTTTATGTCTCTGCTTGAGTCTTCTTCCTTCTCCTCTCTTACTTTCTCTGTCTCTCCCCTCCCATTCAAACAAAAGTAACTTTTGAATTATACTAACTATATTTTTCCCTATATGTGTCTCAACTTCTGCTGTGTTTCAGCAACTATGACCCTATGTACATTTACATAAGTAAAAAAATAGAAAGTCGTTAACTAATAAATAAAAATCATCTAATTTGGGTGAGTCTGGTTAACCTATGTGTGACTGCTTTTTGGTTACAGGTAATCCTTGATAAAAATTTCTGTG